GAGATCGTGTGATTTGACCCCGTTAGACTTCTTCTTGTGAGATTTTTTTGAATCACAGGTGTATGCAAATGAGCTACAAATCACAGTGGTTCTTAAAGCCAACATTACCTATGTCATCGGTAAATTTCAGCCTGATTTATGCGCCAGAGTTATGGAAAATTGGACGTCGCTCCCAGAGAAGCCATGGCGGACATTCCAACGATGTTATATTCCACACATGATGGCATCAATAGGTATATCAAACGAATAAAAAATGTTGATGATATCTCACACACACTTTGATTTATTTAAATTTGAAGGTAGGAAGCGCTCAAATACTGAAAGTACTTCGAACAAAACTCAGTAAAGTAATAGCTTCTTCGTTCTCTTCTAATTCATTTAAAAAATGCATGTGCAACAATTAGGCGACATTCGACTATAGCCGGTCTTTCAACTAACTTGAACAATTCCACGTGTTCACGAATATGAAATCAACAATCCAAATTGTTAATATTTCAAATACATTTATTTTGCTGTAGCAGAAAGATCATCACCTAACTTGATGTGACCTTTACATGAATTTACAATTTCCTCAAGTAGTAGAAAATGATTGTTCTAAACCCATAACTATTTTCCATTTTTTGAATTGCTAAACGTTCCCTACCGAAGTAAATATGTCACCAGATGAATCGGAGCATCAGTCCATCAAAATGTGACGATGCGATATTTAACGAGCATGCCTATTTCTATCTTGGTTCAACGAGTAACAACAGTATCGGGCCTATTGGACATTTCCAAGTCGGCGTTTGTAAATGTATATCGCGTTCGACACCTGATATTAACGACTTCAAGTCCGCGACAAACTCGGCTAATAGCAGTAAATCATTTGTCTTTTAGAAAATCTTTCGTGAGTTTTCCGTCAGTGCTGTTTATTCGGCAATCCACGTGCCGCAATCGCATTTCTCATCCAACCCAAACAAAGGAGAGCTCTCTCCACAGCCATTCATATCGATTTTCTGTGATATACTGCTTCATAAAAAAACTTGTTGATCTCACGTCAGTCTTGAATTCGCTTTGATATCTGCTTGAGATTGATTTCTAAAATATGTGCGCCATTTAAAAACATTATTGAGCCCTTCGATTGAATTAAAACAAGATTGATATTTGAGCTATGAATAAGTGAGTTACATATTCCTATAACCGAATTGTTTGGACTGATATTGGAGTGTGTAGTGAGTGTTACTAGCATTGTGATACTGTTTACTATTGTTATGAATAACAGAAAAGGGGTACAGCAGATACCAATGTGATATCTGAAAAAGTTTTTAATATGGAAATTCCTGATGAGCCGCTGAACCTTACTTTGAAAAAAATGCCAGTAGCGATTGTAGCACCGTTTTCCATCATAGATAATAATCAAAATATTAAATGGACAAACTTCAACGAAACCAATACAGTGAATCCTATCATAAATGAAGATCTACCCGAAGATTTGTCGCTGAAGAAAAACACCGACCAAGGTTTGGATCTCACAAAAAATACAAATCACACGGAACAGCTGAGAAAATATTTGTGCAAAAACGAAGAAACACGTAGATCCTACGACAAAAATACATTCAACGATTCAATTAATAGTAAACTTCCTGAGGAGAATTCCCAATTTTTCTTCAACAACTTGAATAATAAGTTACTATCCATGTGGTATTTAAATTCTATTTCCATTATGAATAAGGATAATCCATATTTGACCACGTCCACTTCCCGAACAAAATCGAATTGCAGTCCTAGTTCAAACAAAATTTTGAACAATTTGTTAGATAAAAAGTGTTACAGTTCATGTAAATTTCCTACTGGATTTGACGCACTGATCAAAAATGAGATGGAACACCCCAACGAAGAGGAAGGACGCCAAATTAATCGGTAATTACCTCACCACATACCTTTTTTGTTTTCAAACTATTTTTTTCGCGCCAAAATCCAAGATTGTAGTAAGATTTCGAAAATATTGTTACAATTAATTTTTACAATTCTGACTTACCTACTTTTTTTCAGTAAGATGAGATGTAACGACATGTTATTCTGCTTTGAGATTATGTATTGTTAGATGTTTATAAAAAATAGTTAACTTGTAAAAGTTATTGATGAAGGTGTTTCCTAATAGTCCGTTGATGTTCAGATATATTTTTCAAAAATAATGTCAAACTCTTCAGTGTTACTCTTTTTTTCTTCCATTGAACGTTTCGTGTCAACACAACCACCACCAACTTTTTTTTTCAAGTACGGACCTGTTTCTTTCATTACAAGTATTGATAGAGCGATAAAATCACTATTCAGTGATATAGAACACTTGTTATTATCATAGTATTTCATTTAAATTAACTAGCATCATCACTGACAACAATTTTCAATTACGGTCTTGTCGTTAGTTCTTTTATAAATTGTTTTGATTTCTTCAAAACGTATTCTATTGGCATACCTCGGACATTACCCAACGAACATTCGTATTTTTCCTTTTTGGAAATTTTTGTATTACAGTAACATTTGTTTCAATTTTTATACGGAATATTTTTATAATTCTCAATCCTGGAAGTAACAACGAAAATATAAGTTTTTGAATAAATTACAATTGTTGTGTAATTTGGTACAATTAAGCAGCATCTCACTTCATTCACAATTTTTTGACTCGTAGGCTTTGCTTGGTTTCTTTGGCAGGAAAATATTGTTGATATCTGTTAAGAACTGTCATATGTTTATGCACTTGGTTACAAATTAGAGATGTATTCAAATGACGAAAGGACTGATGCAATGCTATTTACTTATGCAAAGTCAAATAGAAATCATCTTTTGGCAAGAAATATGTATGTATGGTGAGCTATACCCCAATCGTCGTATTCCAAACATTACAATGCTTAGATAAATAGAAATAAATTTGAGACACTGTAATGCATTTGATAATACAACTAGAAAACTTGTTGTTACTGGACATGTGAGGATCCAAATAAATTTTTTGGGTAAGTCATTATTATATCAAAGATTAACAAAGCAAAAAAATAGTTTTTTTTCAATTAGGGATTGGTCGGTCACAATAATATTTTCAATCATGATTGTTCTTTCTGATACATTGCCTGCAACCTAGGAATTTCTGTGAAATAAAAAAAAAAGGTACGATTTGCGAAGTAGTTGAGATGTAGAAATTGTAAGTTGGACATAATCGTAAAAAAATAATATGGACGGACGAATCAAAATTCACCAACAATGGCTGATTCAACAGAAACGTCTCCATTATATGAGGAATAATTCAAATGAACATATACATAGAGGAACCAATGTCCAGGAAAGGTTCGGAATAAATGTTTGGTTGGGAATTTTGGCCACAAACATACTAGGTCCTTTCTTTTACGATGTATCTAAATGTTTTTTCCAACGAGTTTGATGACTATCACATGAATTGCCACTGAACAACCGACAAAAAGTACAATATTTTCAACAAGACGGTGCCCCTCCCTACAGTCCAGCAATAGTAAGGGAACATTAAGAGGCAACATTCCCAACAAAATGGATTAGAAACGATGGAGCTATTGCCTGACCAGCTCGATCCCCAGACCTTACCTAACGACAAGACCGTAAATGAAAATTGTTGTCACCGATGATATTAGTTATTTTAAATGAAACGATATACAAATACCAAGTGTAATGTACCACTGAATTATGATTTTATCGATTTATTAGTATTTGTAACAAAAGAAAAGTTCGAATTCAAAAAAATTGCTGATCATGGCCGTGTTAGCACGAAACGTTTTATTTTTAGTTTTCTCTATATAACTCGAGAAGGACGAGAGTTCATGTGTACTACCAAAGTACTGTTCTCCATGATAGTAACCTTACTTTCCATGTAATCGTCTACATATCTGTTATGGTTACCAGCAATGTTACCACATGATGAAAGAAACGGCCTATACATCAGAACGAGTGTACTCTTACAAAGCGAATTATTACAATATGTTGATAATGCTTATTACCATTTTCAGGGAAGCTACAATAATATTTATGCAAAATACAAGTAAAAATATTTAAAAAAAACAAGGGCTGTGTCACTAGTGGTGTGTAAGTTATGTAAATAAAAACATGTCAAAGGAAATGAAGGTGTAACCTTACGGTAAAATTTGTTGAAGTAAAATACTAGACACGAAATGTTCATGAAGTAACTCAAAATGTGTTGGAATCATTTGAAAATATTAAAAAATAACCAATAGGTGGAAAGTACATGTGACCTTGAAAATGAGGCTGAAATGTGACATATGAACTATGGCACAAAATCTAGAATTTTGTGTTTGTCAAGAATAAGAAATGTTCCCAACATGGTACAAGTGTGCTGAGAGAAATCTACCGAGAGAGTTCACTTACAAATGAAAAAACACTACTACCAACTGCAATGCAGTATAAATTGATTGTCACTAAATTGGGAAAAGAATTTTCTGATTGATTTGGCCGTTACTTGATAAAGATCCATAGTAATTTCAAAAACTACACCTCAAGATTTGATCTACACAAACTTTATTTGAAAAATATATCACATTACAAATTTTTTAGCAGCAGCTTTCTCAAGTGAAATGAATACGATATATTTTTCAAATAAAGTTTGTGGGGATCAAATCGTGAGGTGTAGCTTTTGAAAAAACAAAAAGAATTGTTTTATATAACAATTGTTGATTCATTAATTCCAATAGTAACTATGTATTTGAAGACCTTAATTTAATTCATTGGAAAGAGAAAAGAATTATTTTATGAAAAAGTTTCAATTATTTACACAATATATACCTACTAATGACATAATTAGAATCCTTAAAACATCAAAGATCATTAACTCCTTCAGAGAAAATAGTCTTTCATACAACACTTTATGTAACTTGAATTTTGGGAATTTTCACCTTCCACAATCTGAAAAAGAACTTTGACTTGTTCAAAATTCAACTTGATTTGCGTTGATAATTGCCGTTTTCAATACATTTTTTTAATTTCAGGTCTCAAATGGATCACAAAAATAACTTAGACGCTAAGAATAACCAGGACAGTAACGAAAAGAAGAAACCTCATATAAAGAAACCCCTCAACGCATTTATGTTGTACATGAAGGAAATGAGGGCAAAAGTTGTTGCTGAATGTACATTAAAAGAAAGCGCTGCCATCAATCAGATTCTAGGTCGACGGGTAAGGAACATATGTATTTTTCAATAAATATACGAGTAGTTTTGTATGAATGTTGACAGGATGAGATAGATTCTCCACCAATTTCCTTTCATCCCAATTTAAAAAATCCATAAGGTTTTTTACATTTGTAATCATTTGAAAATGCCAGTCATCAATAACATGGTTTGTCAGTATCTTTCAGCTCAGGTAAGAACTCATAACAGCAGTGATTGATTCAACAGACTATTAAAAAAATCATTTCGAGAATAAATCAAAAAAGAAGGCAAATCAAGTTAGAACTGAAAAGTTATAGGTAGTTATACGTTCGTTGCTAATGAAAGTTCTGGTTCGTTGTTGATGGAAGTTCTGTTACAAGTGAAAAAATAGTATTCTAAAAAAAAGGCATAGTGAGGGATGCAATCATTTATAAAAAATACTCGAAAGGTGACAGCCGCAGGATTACTAGTAATGAAGATAGACTTTAAGTAAATCGAAGCGAAAAGGCATGAACTCATTCAAGATAAATATCAACATTTTCAAAAATATTCAATACAATTGAAATATTGATCAATTTGAAAGAAATGAGATATAAATTTCACTTCCTCATTGCTTTATAAATATATTCCAAATATAACTAATTATTCTACCCATTGGGGAAAAATGTAATTTTCCTTCCAAAGTACTAATGATTCAATTTATTGCAATGAATAATTTTAGATGTATTCTTTAGTAAGTTTCTATACCTGAATTGAGAAATTAATAAAACATGTAGGTAGATATATATTTGATGTTTTATCAGTTCCCATGACTTGTTGCATAATTTAATAGCAGCAGTTCATATGATCTAAATTCTTTAGCGTGTTGGTAACATTTGATAAGTATACCCCATATAAAAAAACTACTTTCAAATTAGTAATTCCCAAAAATTCTTTTGTGTAAACTAACATCATGGAACAAAAATCATTTATGAAAACCATATAAATGGATAATTATTTTTAACTGCATTTTATACAGAAAAATATATGAAGAGATGAGTGATTATTGTTTGAAGTTTTGATATAACTATTTTCTTAATTCATCATCTGATTAGATTCATTCTGAAAACAAAGTCAAGGAGAAAAAGAACCAAGGACAATAAATTAACAAAAGAAGTTGGTATCAAGTGACAAATCACCAAGAAGATATATTTTGAGAAATGGTTAATCCATCTAAAATATTGTTTATTGATAGTTCATTGATATCATTGCATTTCAGAATGTAACAATTTCTTAAAAATAAGGCTAATTTTATTTTGAAATGTACTCTGAGAAAAACGAATTAATTTTGAACATAGTATTGTAGATTATTTATGATATTATTTTTGATCAAAGCACCATATCACACTGAAATTAACTCGCTATATTTGGAAACTGATACAAATCAGAATTGTGTCGGATGACTTTGGAAAAATGTAAAGGAATCTGAAAATATGTTAATAATAAATTATGAATGTTTATACTTGATGGTCCACTAAAAGTGAATCTTTAAATAAAATACAATGTTTTTTATTCAGCAGTTGTACTAAAAGTAAAAACTGAAAATCTTGAAAATAAGAAAATCATTATTGCAGTTTATTTTCGTCTGCCTTCAATAGTGTTGTTGAACAAAAAACACTTTTAACGCAGCTCTCACACAGTGAAAGTAAGAATTTGAAAGGTGATTTGTTACAGTGTGAAAAATAATCATAATTATTTTATCATCTTGTGTAAAATGAATAAAATTGTCCTCAATTTATTTTCGAATGATTATGATGTGAAAAGCCTATATAAACTTCGGATTGAAACAAATAAAATATTACTCTCTTATCTATACTCCTTTTACACACAGATATTGATTACTGATTCATATATCACTCACTTTTCATTTGAGACACTTTCATTTTTGTTTTGATGATATGTTTCAATCCGAAGTCATTTTGGATACAAAATGGATGTTATGTATGAGTGATATAATTATGTTAGAGTACAATTATATATGTGCATAGTGGCACTCGTTGAGTCGAGAAGAACAGGCCAAGTATTATGAAAAGGCGCGTCAGGAACGCCAATTGCACATGCAGCTGTACCCGGGCTGGAGCGCACGGGACAATTACGGTTATGGCACCAAGAAGAAGAAGCGAAAAAAAGAACGAACACCTATCGAGTCGGGAGGTAGTTATATCCGCGCACCCACATTTAATAGAGTGCCAATCCAAATTTATTTCTCAGTTATGTGCACTGAAAAACCAACATGATGTCTGTGATGATACATTTTTGATTTATGTGATCATTACAAAAATCTGAAAATATTATTCAAGGGATTGTTGATTTAAGTATTGAATTATCATTGCGATTTCACTTGAATAGTTGCCATATTCCAAATGACGCATAACGACAATTTGTTGAGTGATTTCTGTGCACATGATAGTTTTGCGTGAAAGACTAACAAACTGCACTCGACTCTACTACTAATTGGAACTGGCAGACGACATAATGTATTGGAAGAAGAGGGTTACTGTACTCTTTTTCTCTTCATCGTTACCACCAGTTTCTTTGATCCAATATCCGTTCAAACGCCAATAGTCATGAATCATAACTATAATTGAACTGTATCGTCATATGTATAACTCTGTTCGAAACGAGTATATACATATATATTTGAGTTTTTGAACGGATGTTGGTTATACAGAACACCCCAACTTTGAAACGGTGCTCTGAACGACGTGCATACTCGCGAGTTCGAGCAGAATGGGTCGGTGGCGGCCAAAATAGATTGGTGGCGGCCATAAAGTCTGGGGTGGCCGGCATGGCGATTCTTGCGCGCTTCTTGGTGCCCTGCCGGTACGAAAAAATGCTGACTCTGTTCTGTTTAGTGGCACGCGCTGGGTAGGGAGGAGCAGGCCAAATACTATGAGCTGGCCCGTCGCGAACGACAGCTGCATATGCAGCTCTATCCCGATTGGTCATCACGCGCCAACGCCACTCGCGGCAAGAAGAGGAAGCGCAAACAAGACCCCGCCGATGGAGGTAGCCACCCTCGCAACTTACTAGTTTTTATTGTTTTTATTTCGATACAACCGCTCATCAACTTGACTTTGATAATTATTCATACAAAGTGAAGTACCATGTTATGTAAATTTTATATAAATGGTTGGAATAAGTGTTTGGTCAATTAAATCGTTTATATACAAAAGTTTATATCATAAAAAACGATGATTTGCCACCAATATTTACAGTAGGTGTAGTAGAATACAAAGGTAAAGTTCCTATTGTATCAATGGAATTGATCAAATCAGATCTCTATATATGTTAATAAATAGCAGAATTGATTGTTTCAAAATTTCTGCTATTGGTCCTTTTGATGCTTGAAAGAAACTAGTTTGCTCCTTTTGCTTCTTAAACAGGTCTTACTAATATTTTATATATATGCCTACTTTTTCCATATCAATCGATTATAAGGATTCTGAAAAACTCTTGGTGTGCTGTCATAATTTCTGAATGAAACTTACACAAAATAAAGTTATTCGTATTTTGAATTGAAAATTGCACAAATCAGTCATTAATTAACCAGCAAAAAGTAGTGGCAAGTTGATGAACGGAATTAGGTACTAAGTAATTTGCGAGCCATACCTATTCTATTATTATCTATATATTGCATGTTTTGGGGTATACGGTTGGCCGGCCGGGACCTATTCTGCCGAGGGTCGAGCAGACCCCTTGTTGGTTGGACTCGTCGTATGCACGTTTGTCAGTAGCCTGCATGATCCCTCAGTAGATTCTTTCCCCCGACAAACCCGAGCATGGCCCCTTTCCATAGCTCATTTTTTTCTTTTAGAGAAATGCATATTCATTTTTCAGTGTATATCATTTATTAATAGCTTCTTCCAATTAGTACTGTAGTCGTTGCCAAAGTAAAATTACTCTTAACTGGATTTACCTAACACTAATTTATTTTGGTTAATAGCTCATGGAAGATCTGGCCACATTTCACCACAATGTAACTAAATTAAATGAAACAAATTCAGAATATTCAAATCAGGTTCAAGCAAACAACTACTTGTAAATACTTCATGGTGTAAATTTTTTTCCAGTCAAACGTTTTCACTTGATTTATTTGAATTCTTTGAGAATGTGTGAAAGTACTGAAATAAGAATTTCATAATTGGATGGGATGAGTGTTGTGTTGAGTTATAATTACTAATCATAATTGAATTATTATCGTTTTATAATCATTCAGTAATGGTGCTTTCATGAATTATATTCAACATCTGATAGAATTCCTTCACACAAATTTATATATTCTTCAGTAACTTTGCTAAATATTGAAGAAATATTCCAACTTTCAAAGAATTAATGACTAAAAAACCTAAATATCCTGACACACTCAACATTTATTCTTACCTGATGTGTTGGATGACCAGTTCTTTCATGGTATACAGTGAAATAAATTAATTTTTTTTAGTTTTAGATTTATCGAATTAGAGTAATGGTATTAGGAAGACTGATTAAATTTCAACAACTATGTTTTGGGTTCAGAATGGCTTTTTTTGGAATTGTAGATAATTGTTTTCATTTTAATCAGTCTTTGAAGCATGTCTCTGGTAGAAATTGGCAATTTTCTCTTGATTAAAACTTAATAACTTGATTGTCCATAAACAGGTAATAGCATGAAGAAATGTCGAGCAAGGTATGGATTGGACCAACAAAGCCAGTGGTGCAAACCATGCAGGTGGGTTTTTTCTCAGTGATGTTGTAACTTATTGGTATTTGCACGCCTATTGTTCTTTGTTTTTGTGAATATTTTTTTACTACATGTAACCAAAGTGTTTGATTATTTCATGTTACTTGTCATTATCATGCATATTGGTTACATTTCACTTATACCTATGGGTTTTTCATAGAAATACAACTCTTAAAAGTGAGTACTATCCAAACACAACGTTTGAATAATATTTCTACTGTGTTTATTATTGAATTTGCGAAAACCCATATGTTTTTTATTTAGTGGCATTTCCTAATCTATGTGGAAAGACTGTTTTTTTATTTTTATTATTATTTTTTGTTTTGTAAATATATCCCGGGAGACACTGCAAGATTTTACTTCTAGAGATCAGAAAATGTGTCTTCCCACAAAGAAAAGGACAAATTTGGCTTTAATTCATGCACTATACACTGCTGCTGAGTATAACAATTGTTATGAGTGCAAGGGGCTCAGAATGTACCAAAATTCCTATATACAATAGACACATTTTCTGATGAAAAGTTTCATTATACAAATTTTCCTTTTTTATGTACATTATAATGTTTATTTTGTCTGTGATGTCTTTGTTGCTTGTTTGTGACTGACTGTACACTCATTAGAGTGTTTTGCATTTGTGGAAATGTTCTTATTTTAATGCCCCCTTGTACATTTAACGATTGTTTAGTCCCGAGAACAGTTCACATGGCGGAACTTCAACAGTCCACGGGAGTCTCTTGCACACCACTGGAGGTGCTACAACTACCCAGTCTCCTCAGGAACCCACTTACGTCAATCTATAGCAAAGCGTTGGTTAGTCAACAGCAGTGTTGGTGTTTCAGTGTTAGATAGATGTTACTTTTTGTTTCTATTTGCAGTATCCGTACAAGTTGTTTTTTTTCTGTAAATGTGAAACCTTTTTCCCTGCACAACAAAGCCAGGAGCAGCAAAGAGTAGTCACCTTTTGTGAAATATTTCTTCTATATTTTGAACAGTAATCTAAAGCAGTATTGAAATGGAATGATATCTGGAAATTTTTGATTGCAATAATTCCAAATTTTACAAAATTGAAACTTGAGATTTTACCAGGTTTCATGGTTTAAAGAAAAAATTGAAGAATCAATGTATAATTTATGAAATAGTGCATGCTTTTTGCTACCTCTGAATTAAATACTCTTCCTCCATTGAAATGTTACCTTTACCCGTGATCCATTACAGCTACAAATTTTACTTTGATTTTTAATACAGGTATTGCATAATTGTCAAATTGAAACAAGTTCCTGAGATTCTTTTTTGTTACAAATTTCCGCTTATAAACTCGCGAAATATGTAAATGTTGAATAACTGCGTATTATATCAATATTGAGATAGTTTCTGATGGAGACGTAGATATATCTGAGACATTTCATAAATATCACAAATGAATATACTGATGCATGCTTTGTGAAACCAGATATTATTCTGTATGTATGTTTATCCAAGGTTAAAAAAGTCTTTCCAGCCACAAGTTAATTGGATTGTTTCAATATCTTTGCAAATTTTTAGGACATTTGTTTTTGTTAGAGTCAGTTTAGTACTTCAGGTTCAATTTGACTATGGCCTACAAGCCCAGATTTTGTTTTCTCATATATGCCTACTTTTTCCATATCAATCGATTATTGAAATCCTTCTGCAAAAATGATATAAGTTTAAATATTATTCAGAAAAGTTCAAATATTAGTGAGTAAATTTCATTGAAATTTAAGACCTGCCTTTACATCATCATCACTTTTGTATATCACTCTTCTATATCTTATAATATAAAAAATTAAAAACTATATTTCACAAAATTCTTCAACAAAAAAAATTCGCAATGATGGTAAATTCACAATGTGTGGCAAGGGATTATTTATGATGAAATCACGAAATTACAACATTGGAACATTTTTATGATCGATAGAAACATTAATATACAATCCGAGTTTTTGTATTTTTTTGTTTTGTGTTTTTTCGCATGCATACATTTTTGGTATTCCCTCATTACTTACCTCCATAACAGATCTGCATGTTGAAGAATTTCATTTGAGCATGTTCCTTATACATTTTCTCGTTCAATTTCTAATCTAGTCATATACTTTTCAGGAGAAAGAAAAAGTGCATACGATATATGGAGGCAGGAGATGGAAATGATGGTAACCAATCCGATGACAATCTAGGTAGTTGTGGAAGTATGGGGGATGCTAATACACCCCCTGAAGATGATAACGAAAGTCTGAACCAATCCATGTCCAGTCCAGGGGGACTCTCAGTTTTGAGTAGTCTCACAAGTCCTGGAGGTATGATATTACCAAGTCCTTCGACAAGTGTTGCAAGTCCTTCAGTCAGTGTTTCCAGCCCCTACATGCTTCAGAGCCCATTAACACCTCATGAAGCTTTCGACATCAAACTTCCTCCTCCGTCTCATCATCATCAGCCTTCGCGAAACCCTGTTGGGACTAATCCTCATGATATAAACAATCCGTTAAGTGTGAATCAGTTAACAGGACAGTGTGTTAGAAATGATTCCACTGATACAAATGGAAACAAAGAGACACGTTCGATTATAAGCGTTACGTAGCTAATAGTAAACCAGAAACCACCTGTGATCTACAAACTTTCTTGTGTTGTTGAACTTTGGTGGGTATTCATTGTATAGTCGTGCAGTATGTTGATCTCACTGAACTTGAGTGCTGCAGATTTTTCTACTATGTAACATAAATGTCATTTGCCAAAATCACCTCTTTACAGGGTTTGACATAACGATCTAAGAAGAGCTATATATCAAACAATTGTAAATTATATGAAATGGAAATTTTGTTTTTCATAAGTATTTTTCCTGAAGCAGGAAGAATATTTTAACAAATTTCTATTTCTCTGCAAGCATCACCACTAATTTTATAAATTGCCAGCAAAACTTTGATTCAAATATCAATTTCAAGGTCTACCGAGAGGCAAAGGTCTACAGAGAGGCAAGGGGCAAGGTGTTTTCGGGTGAAACCACCTTGCCCCTTGCCTCAATGTAGACCCAGCTAATGCCGCGCAGAGAGTTGAAGTAAAACCATCAGACATCTGTGCAACGTCTTCGATTTGGAAGATTCGTCGCAAGTAATTTCACACTATGAAAAGCAGAAATTAATTTAGTTTGATCGGTGCGACCAACCGATAGACCGGTTTCAGGGGTACTTGCCCCATCCTCAGTACTGGGCTTGGTTTCTTCTGAATGGTGTGAACCGTCTGAGTATCACGACCAAACAAATATAATTCCAGCCGGTCATGAACTCTTTCTGCAGTTGATTCAGTGGGATTATCCACTGTGCCACCTGCAGACAGAGCTAGGAAACAACTCCACAAACATACTCCGGGTTGGGAGTTGGAATAATGATTACTATTCCGGAGAGATACATATGACAATAACTGGGAAATAACTTGCTACGAATCTTCCAAAATGAAGACAGGTGTCTGATGGTTTTACTTCAACTCTCTTCGGGGCATTAGCTGGGTTAGTTGTTGTTTAATCTTTTTGTGTTATCGTGCAAGCATTCATACAAAAAGTGATAATAATAATAATAACTATCACAATACCCAGAACGAATATCCCTTGAACTTACAAATTATTATAGAATTATTAAATGTTGTCAAGTACTCTTGAAATAGTTTGTTACCAGGATTGTCTGGAAAGTTTCCGAACTAACAATGATACATAACGTTTTTTACTAATTTATTTTCATTTTCTACATAATTTTCTTGTAAATTAACACACTTCTCTCAGCGATGCTTTCATCTTTTCCACCCGTCCAAATAGTAATCGGCTTTTTTCTCTGCAAAATAATCGTTTCTGAAGGTGATGGTTTTCTCATTTATCCAAAGACTCTGTCTTCCTAGTGCATTTTTCACATTATCTAATCAAAGGACGTCGCTTGGGTCAGGATCAGATGAGTAAGGAGAGTGGTCAAGCAAGTCAAATCGTAATTCGAGGATTTTCACCATGGTAACTGCTGAGGTGTGGGGCAGGGCATTGTCTTGGTTGGAACAGAAACTGTTTTCTGTCCTTAGCTCGTCAAGTAATGATGCATAGTATGCTCCTGTAATGTTTTTAACGATATTCAAGATATCTATTACAGATATACTATTTCAAATTTTTTATTTCTTTCTGTGCCTTTCCACTGTTTGACTACATTTTGTTTCAATTGTATAAAGATGCAATTGTGATTTATCGGCGCCAAAACTGATTCACTGCACCTAAACTCCACCAACACAGCTTTGGAAACGTTCATTAAAACATTGGTGTGCCACCCAAGGCATGGTCAGCTTTCTATGTCTAAATATTGATTCAGTATGTGACAAAAACTTGAAAGTGATGGCCCTTCATTAACAGTAAACAAAACAATAAATTTCAGCGATATTATCGTCAGTGGTTGCATTTTTTGGACGTCTTGAACGTCCATTGTCTTCCAGGCTCCTCAAAATTTCACGGCGGTAAATGATTGTACAGAGTCCCCGTACATAGCTTCCAATTTATCTTTGATTTGCGTAGGTTCAAATATCTAATGACAGCTCAATTATTTCCATTTTTGTAAAGACAAATCTACTCGCTTAACGATTGCCAAATAACCGTATATCCAAAGTAGCAAATTTTTTTTAGTATTTGTGAAAAGATGCAGAACCATATTACCTAGGTTTTATTGACAAGTGCTGCCATTTAAATTAAGTTTGAAATATTTTCAAATGTTCCTCTAATATCTATATTTTATTTTTTTGCATGAATTAGTAATATACTCATTAATATTGCCTGTGCCATAGCAAAGTGAAATTATTTTGCAGTTGTATTCCTTGAGCCAAAGAAATAGAACACCTGCAAGTAATTGCTTCGGTTTTTCAATAGAATGAATTCTCCTGTAATCAGTTGGTTGTCTGGTGATGTTATTCATAAAAATTTCAAACTCCCAATGGGGATATTTTTGAAATAATAATATTCTTGATCATTATTACAAACCCTGTGTAAATTATATACATATGTACTAATAATTGAATTTTTATATATTTTTTAGTTATTTATACAGACTGCAATTAGAATATTTGAATGATATTTTCATTATTCTGCTTTAAAACAACAGTTTGAAGCTTTGTAATACCTCACAATTTTAAGAGTGAATTTTTTATTTTATCTTGTTTGAATATGACATTTTATTGCAATTTCATATATCCGTTTATTTTTTCCATAATGAATTCGAAAGAACATGAAACATGTTAATAATAATTGACTACCTCAAACATTACTATTATTTTGGCTGTATAACAAATTGATATGAAGGTTTTTTAAACCAATTTCTACATTTATGGACTTCTACTATATCCAGTAAAATTTAGTAGTTTAGGGAAGTGTCATTTCGAAAAATGCAGATTTTCAGTCATGTACATAAAATAATATACTACGTACATTCATGTCTAATATTTTATTTTTACTATAAAAATGAAATGTGATATTTTATACTATTCGAATTTTTTGGCTTCCTCTGAATTCTTGCATTTACTTGGTAATTTCAAAAAATATTAGGACTACCATCAAAACAATGAATCGAAACCTAAACATCAGCTCAGAATTGAAAAAGAAATAGAGAGGAGAATGATATAATTGCGTTGATTATTTTTCTAAGAGGTCGTTCAGACTGCTCAAATTTCATTTTTGTAATCTATAATCAATCTTGTAACTAAGTAAGATGAAAAACTTACTGAAATGCCATTTAGTTAATCCATGGCAGTCAATATATTGCTTTCAAATTAAATTTTTGTTCATTTGAAACTTGTATTTCTAAAGAACTGATTTAAGCTGGTGACAATTATGCCTTTTTATCGATAGTTGTTTAACTTGATAATGATGTTATTTCAAGGTTCATTTTTATTTTAATAAAAAATATTTCATTTTAAGTAAAAATTTTTATATGGAATTGAGATGAGTTTCATCTTAATAATTTATCATAATTAACTCAGTGGTGAGATTTATTAGTTACTTTGGATTGACATCTAGTTCAAGACTTGTTCTAGTTATACATATGTCTAACATTATGGAAAGTTTAGTTTGAGATCAGGACTGAAAATAGATAATAATGCATAATTGGTGCATCACTCAATTAGTATTCAAGAAAGACTTTATTGTGAAATGTTCATTAGTTTTACAAAATGCAACATGTGTTTTGCTGTACAATAGCTTTTTCATGCGAGTCTTTACTAACCTTAGTAAAGACTGAAGAAGCTATTTGAATAATGAAATCATGTGTTAGGTTTTTGTGAAACTGTTTATTGAAAATCTCATTATAAAGTTTGCTATTTTAAATACAATCAGGAAAAAGACTTTAATATAAGAATTTTTGCTCTAATTCTATGAAATGTGCTATAATTTTCATCATCATATGGAAATAAGAGAATCCATTTACCATTTCTCAGAAAAAACTTGATCTTTGCCAAATTAAAGTAATATCTCATACATTAAGTTAATAATAAATAATGATCATCAATTTGTGTTCAGGAGTAATTTAATAGAAGGTTACAAAAAATATTGAATAAAACAAGTTAGCTAGAACAAAAATTCAATTAACTTTTTCAGTATTTTTCTTGTTGACAGATTTAGAAAACTAGATTCACTAAATCTTCCTACCTGTGTTTTGATGGTTCTCTAATTCGTCAAATGTAACAAATCACTGTTAGTTCTCGAAATGTCGGAAGTTACATCCTGTACCTAAGAGATTACTGTGCCATATTCTAATAAAAGGGTGTAATTCGAAAAAGAAACAACAGACGAAAACGATTGTGACTGCTTAGTTTTTATAAACTTACTTTAAGTTTCGGATAAGTGCAATGTACGGTATTTTGAGATTTTTCTCAAAATGAGGATTCGATCATACAAGCTATTTCAGTTGTCATATGTTCTGTAAAGTGGAGCAACCAGTTGGGATCAGTTACTGTTCTTACTATGGATCTCTAGAAAGAACATATGAAAAAATATTTTTACAGATCAAAATTCATTACTTTTCGGCCAGGCATTATCTGGATGACTCCGAAATATTTTCAGAAATATGAAATCATGAAGATATTAATATCATTGCTGTCATATTGAAGAATTTATGAATGATCTTCTATTCAAATTAAAATATGATTTCTCATAGACATTCATCAAATATTTGAGTGGGTCTAGTACCAAAATAATTGAAACTCGATGTTATGGCGAATCCTCATTTTGAGATAAAAAATAATGTTTGTCTGAATTTGACAAGCTGCGTCACCGGCATACCCCTTAATGTTTTTGTTTGTAAGTGGTTTATGTTATTTTTATGCCTGTAACGTAGTTTTGTCATTCATGGTACATTTCGAAAAAGGTGTTGAGAATATCAATTTTGAATGTACCAGAATATAAAAATAAATGATTATACATATATAAATAAAAATAGACGTTAATATTTTAGATGTCAATAATGTCTTTGTAAGTAGCATCTGTTCGTAACACCGTATAGGTTAGGATCATTCAATAGAAAAAATTCAAATATAAATTATTTATACATCAATTCAGTTTTGATCTCTTCAATCGTCGCAAAATGCCGTCCTTTCATGGGTCTCTTCAATCTTGGGAACAGAAAAAAGTCGTAGGGGGTCAAATCTAGTGAATATGGTGGCTGAGGCATGAGTACATTGTGTTTGGCAAAAAATTTATGAACAAACAATGACCAGTGAGCAGGTGTACTATCGTGATGCAAAAGCCATGAATTGTTTTTCCACAATACCAGACGTTTTCTTCATATTGCTTCTCGCAAGCGGCGCATAACTTCAAGATAATAGAGCTTATTGATCGTAAGACCATGTGACAAGAATCACTGATGCACAACACCACTGTAATGGAAAAAAACAGTGAGCAACTTGGCGTGCTTTTTTTTTGGTCTTGAGTCTCTTGGGCTCTTCCATTGGGACGATTAGACTTTGATTTC